AACTAAACGTAAAGTTAAAGTAAGATTGAAAGAACATATAGCCGATTTGAAATATCGTAGACTAAATTCTGCTTTTCATGAACACTGCCTTTTGAATAATTGTAATATAGATAAAAATAATATAGATATCTTACACAGAGAAAGAGATACATACAAAAGAAAATTCAAGGAAAGTATAGAAATAATCAAAAATCAAAATAGTATAAATAAAAATCCTAGCATCTCAATAAACGAAAACTGGTTAAAAATTTTATATTAATTGTATTCACTAGATTCAAACTATTATTATTGTGATCAATGTGCTAATTAATAATAACGATTGAACTGTTACATAAATCAACAATAACAAAAAACTGTAATGTTGTAACGGGAATCAAATAATATGTAAATTTATATTAAATGTTAATCCTGTTTACCAACCTCAAGACATTGTAATGTCATTAGTTCATATAATAATCTATAATATTAAATACTGTAATGTTAAATAAATCAACAATCATATATTGTAAAAATATAGTAGATGTCAGATATGTAAATTTATATTGTAGAAGTTATGTAAATTCGTATTATATTGTCAATGCTTATCAAAGGAAATAAGGATTTAGTAAAACAGATTTATGAGTAAAAAGCATAATCAATTGTATACCAATTTGATAATTGTTGTCTAAGGTATATTTTAGACCAAGGATTTTGTAAGACTGTTTTATAAGTAAAAGGTATAATCAATTTTGTACAGTACAACCTTAATAACAGCCGTACTCAAGGTATGCCTTAATTAAATATAGTTTTATAGATACTATAAAACTTATGTATAGTTTTATATAGATACGTTGTATACTCTCCTAATATTATAGTAGGCTACAAGAAAAAATACTGTGAATAAGCTGATGTTGCTGAAAAAATATCGAAAGTAAACTGCTACTTTAATTTATAAAACCTGTATGGATAGGTATGTTTTATTTTTTAAAAATTTTACAAAACTTGTGTATTCCTTTTTATGTGTATGTTATATCCTTTTTAAATGTTTTAGTTGACTGAAGAGGGGCTTAAGAGCTCGAAACGTGTAATTTTTTCCACACGTATCAACTAAATAAAGATGAAAAAATCCGCCAAGTGTCTTAATTTATAGCACTATATTGTGTCAGAAGCATAAACAAATAGCAAAGCACGGTTTCATATCATCAACTTAATCTTATAATAATAATAACTTAATAATAATAAACTTAATCCTTAACTAAAACTATATTACAAAATATTGGATGTGTAAGCAGCTAAGATAAGGATGATGAAAATGATTTTATTTTAAAACTTAAATGGAAAAATATATTGATAATATAAACACTTAAAATTGTTCCGATAATACGTAATGATTTCTTTATTACTCCATTTAAAACTTTATTTGTATATAAAAAATAATGACAGAATTTGGTTCAGAATGATAAAACTATTGTAGTGAGTTGAGACAATGAGATATTTACAGGTAAAATTATGATTTATATAATTTACATGAAATAATATTAGAATATATGCAAAGTAAAATAATATGAGTAAATAAATTTTATCAGAATTTTGCTTTTGAATTTGAAATTGAACTTTTTTATTCCCTGTAGTTATCTTTGTTATGTATAGTATATAAGATTTATTTATTAATAATTTGCACGCATAATGCATATAAGTGTAACATCCTGGACCTTAAATTCTATAAAAATGTATAAAGATGTTTATTAGTTATATTTGTACCACGCATGTAAAACTTTAAGTATTGTTATTCAAATTAGATTAAAATTAATGTGTGATCATTTAAACTTCGTATAAACTTTAAATATAAGCGTATTTATCACAGCTAATTTGTGAATTGTGAATATATTAGGTTGAAAGGTAATTACCATCATTATCAATCCCGTTTATTAATCAGTATCAAACTCGTATAACCAATAATAAAGTGTCAATACTAAACCGAATATTTGGAATATTTGAATACTTGCTGAACTTAACCGAGTAGGTAACATTTCACCAATACAATAATTAATTAATAATAAGGTAAAATATCAACTACAAAGCATTCCAGAGATTATACTGATGGAAATAAATCGGGCGTTACATATAAGAATAAAATAAATTTGATAATTGAAATAGAAGCTTTCGACAAATTTTATTCTGTTATATTTGCTTGATCCGGAAGCTGTTAAGTAATAAAAGTTAATGAAAACAATTGATTGTTTCATTGTAATATGTAACGTCTGAAAATAGTTTATTTCATTAGAATATGTTAATAGAATAAGAGTAAGTGTCCTAAAATCATTAATTCATTTTAAAATATAAAAAAATTACGATTAAATTTTACAAATATCTAGGCAGAAACTATCAATATTTCAGAATTTGCAGAAGGATGTTTACTTATGAATTATTATATCAAAGCAGAAAATTATTGTACACATGTTTAATTAAACTGAATAAATATCATTGGAAATTTCCTGATCGATTAATTTCGTTGGATAACTAAACTATCTACACAGTTTTATCATATTCAAATTAAATTTTGATTTTAAATTTTTAAGGAGCAGCTTTCGTATCCTTTAAAATTAAGTTAGATTTACACGGAACTGTGATTACTTAAAGTAATATCTCATTCGTAAAAATATGGCTTACGACTGTTAAATAAATAATGTATATTTTCTGATCTGACAACTGTGTAATCAGATTTATAGTAAAGCGGAATTAATTTAGATTTTAATTTATTTGTCATAGTATCGATGTGGATTTAACTGTTTAAACTAATTATGCGCAGAGATAAGAGGTTCCTACAACAGTCGTCGAAACTGTACTTTTTTAATTTAATTTTTATTAAAATTATGAACTAAAATAAAGAAAATTTNAAAACACTACACTCAACAAGCCACCAATAAAACTCAACTGCCTAACCTATAACCAAAGTCTCCTTTTAATTTGTTTTTTAAAAAAAGCGCTTGACAAACTTGCCCCGCATGCCGAAGTTGCCCCGATCTCCCCTATATATACTAAATGATAAAATTTTAATAAATTTACAAATTTAATATATAGCTTATGTTTTAACTTATTTTTGTTCATTATTAACAGATTTAGAAAAATAAACGTTTTAAATAATTCTGAATGTAAAGAATTTCTATCATTGATAATATTGCTAGAAGATAAAATTAGGCTTGTTTCATTCAATATTTTCATTATCTAATTTTATATTTGAAGTTGAGTTTTCTATATTTTCTCATTTATAGACTAAATCGAAATGGAAAGATAAAAGCAAAATTAACTTAATAATAAAAAAAAATCTTTTTTGTCTT